GACGAAACACCCAAAATCAAGACATGAAATGAAGTTTAAATGAAAAGATGGAGAAACAACTTTCTGTTACTGCCATTTCTTTCTTTCTCTCTTACACACATATATGGAATGCTCTCGTATCTCTCTCTCAGCCTTTATTTTTATTTTCCTCAAAATTGCTCAGGCTTTGAAAATAATTTGTGACTATTCTCAGAGCTAATGAACGAAATTATAATATGGTTCATGCAAGGTCGAGACTAAAATAGTAGAAAGCATAAGTAGTTGATCTTCACTATATATATGAGTTGTATTGCTTTGGTTCTGAAACATTATTCCCGACAATGCTGATGGTTAGCTTAATTAAATGGCACTTGGTAGCATCTCACTTATATAAGAATAGTAGTTGGAATAAAATACAAGAAATGATAGGCAAATGTTGAGTGGATCTCTTCATACGCGTATGATGCTTCTCCAGTTTACTTGAGCTGTCTTGTCCTATATTTCCAAAAATGCTGATGAGTAGCTGAACCAGATAGATTCTGGTCGACATCACATGGTGGTGAAGGCATCGTGGTTGATCAACCATAAGTAAGACAAGACAAACTCTTACACATGCTTATTGAAACAATCATTGCACATGTTCACTAGATTATAAAGTTTAGTTGACTTCCTTGCACTATCACATGTACTATCATGGCTCATATGATCTTTATTCCACTTCATAGCACTCGACTGTCATGTGACTCGAGAGAATATGACCATAGGATGAGTAATTGGCTCGTAAATGTGAATGGCTCGGTTCTTATTACCTCCGGCAATAAATTGCGCAAAGCGAAGCTACAAGTTTTCTCTTTGGCTTGGACCAAGGTCTACTTAATCTTTAATGACTTCAATGACTTAGGAAAAAATCTATATTTCCATTACTAAGACTCGGGACAAAATGCTACAAAAATGAATTACGACAAAAATTCGGCTTACGCGATTGAACCGGAAATTCGAGTGGCGATTTATAAAACAAAATCGAACGAGCTATAAAATTTTATTATCCACCTAATAATATAGTATATAATCACATAATCAAAATTTGATAAATAAAATAATTCAAGAAATTCTATAAATCGAACGGGGCGCTACAATCTCGTTATGTACAAAACACAAATTCAATAGCAAACGTAAATCTATGCGCAATGGATCTAAAGGTTTATGTAGAAAACTTACAACTTAAAATTTATGGCGATCTGGCTGATCTTCCAGATGGCCGTACAAACACACGAACTGGATTGGATCACGAACGAAACGTCGGGCTCACAGTCGGATCGCGAGTGTTGAACGTTGGGCTCGCCGGGAGCTGTCCACAGAGGCGCGTGGGTCGCGGCTAGTGCATCGTGTGCTACTGGTGGTGCGTTGCAGGCTAGGCATCGCGGGTTCGGGTGTTGCGGCGTGCTGGGCGGGTCGCGATCGGTCCGGGGTTGCTCTGGCTGGTCACGGCTTCCGTCCGGCTGATCCTACGGCGGTTGCGGTTGGCGGATCTCGGGCTGGGGCTCGTGGTCCGTCAACTTTGTGTAGATGATCACCGGGTCTCGAACACCTATGGATCTTCTACTTTATATCTCAAACACCCTCTTCAACTTGTACCGATGGAACAACAAGAAGTAGATAAAGCTCGAATGGAAACTGAGAGAGAGAGAGAGGCGTGGGGCGCAAGATTATTATCTTTTGTTACCTTCTCATGAGCTTAATGATGTATATATAGAGCTACAATAGGGACCCTTAGGGGATTAGGAATAGGGCTCCTTATTAATTAAAATACTTGTGGGTCAGCCTACTTATTCTAATTAATTAAATAATATTAAATAGACCACCAACATAATATTATTACACTCCTTTGTCCTAGCCCAATTTACAATTGAGACTCCAATTATAATTACTCGATTTATCCCCCCATGTTTAAAATATAATATCCATTAATTAATTTGATTATGAACATTTAAGAATTAATTAATTTATTATTATTTCACCGAAGCTAGCGCTTGTTCATCACATTATTACTACGCCCAAATTTAATCCACCTGCAGGGTTTAGCATAATAATCCTTCATGAACTCACTCCGGGGACATCATCAAACTAAACGTACATAGTGACAGTAAATATCCTAATAGCACATCCTACATGTAGCAATATTACCCAAGACAGAGGGTGTATTGCCCCAGTTCACTAAGCCTCACCCATGTGAATCAAAGTAATAAGTACTACACATATATGTCTGTTTAATATCTGTTGATATGGTTTTCGGTAAACCAAGTTATTACTACTCATTGGTTTTCAATGCTCAATAATTAGAAGATTATATTCTCTTAACGGAGTGACATGCTCGTGAATTTCAAAGTAATCACATATCGAGCGAAGACAGACTAAGAACCGACATCCTCATCAACTAACCGACATCTCACATCGGTTATGACGTATCAGTTGTGACTTAGCAAACCGATATCTATGACTTGCCAAACCGACATCATAAGGCGGCGCCAACTCAGCACAAATCATCATTACGCCTTACCAAGTGGCGTGCTACAAGAACGAATGGCGATCGACCGCCATTGACTTTTCTAATGTAATGATTGCAATTCTGATAAATGTTGTAAATAAATATAAAAGGGAAAGAAGAAGCTCCCGGAGGAAGGACACAGATGATATAAAAAACGATCACATTCAGTAAACTCTGTTTTCAACTTTCACGTTATACATTAATTCGTCTTGAATACTCAACGTAGTTTTCATTATATTACCGTTGTTAATTCCCACATAACAACAGTTTGGCTCTAGAAGGAGGGCCTCATAAGTTTTTGAGGTTAACTTTCGCTGTTGTAGCAATTTTTCGCTCAAATATCCCATGTCGCAATCTGGTCGAGAACACGCCTCCCACGCAGGCCAAAGCCATACTACGAATCGTTCCCCAGGGCGTTCAACACCACCACCTCCGGTTACATTTATTACGAACTTTCTTCAAAACCCGGAGTTTGTTCAAGGCTTGACCTCTCTTATAGCTCGAGTTATGCCCAGAAACTCGAACACCGTACCAGTATCTATCCCTTTCCCCACGAATCATACTGAACACCCAAATCCTACTCATCATAATCGAGAAACACATATGGCGGTATCACATGCTACTTCAAAACCGCGTCATACTTCTCAACATCGAGATGTTATGACTCGTATAACTGTTAATCCAGTATTAAATAACCAGGCTGCGAATGAGCCTCCTGTTCAAGAAATGACTGCTGAAAGTCACTCCGCTCACCATCACAGAATTCCTTCACGTCCTAGACCCCCCCCCTCACCAAGACCTCGTGTTCATGAAGATTTACGTCATCAAATTGAACGAAATCGTGTGTCAAGACATAGTGCGGAGGAATTAGAGGCTCTCCGCAAAAGACACAGATGATATAAAAAAAGATCACATTCAGTAAACTCTGTTTTCAACTTTCATGTTATACATTAATTCGTCTTGAATACTCAACGTAGTTTTCATTATATTACCGTTGTTAATTCCCACATAACAACAGTTTGGCTCTAGAAGGAGGGCCTCATAAGTTTTTGAGGTTAACTTTCGCTGTTGTAGCAATTTTTCGCTCAAATCTCCCATGTCGCAATCTGGTCGAGAACACGCCTCCCACGCAGGACAACGCCATACTACGAATCGTTCCCCAGGGCGTTCAACACCACCACCTCCGGTTACCAATATTACGAACTTTCTTCAAAACCCGAAGTTTGTTCAAGGCTTGACCTCTCTTATAGCTCGAGTTATGCCCAGAAACTCGAACACCGTACCAGTATCTATTCCTTTCCCCACGAATCATACTGAACACCCAAATCCTACTCATCATAATCGAGAAACACATATGGCGGTATCACATGCTACTTCACAACCGCGTCATACTTCTCAACATCGAGATGTTATGACTCGTATAACTGTTAATCCAGTATTAAATAACCAGGCTGCGAATGAGCCTCCTGTTCAAGAAATGACTGCTGAAAGTCACTCCGCTCACCATCACAGAATTCCTTCACGTCCTAGACCCCCCCTCATCAAGACCTCGTGTTCATGAAGATTTACGTTATCAAATTGAACGAAATCGTGTGTCAAGACATAGTGCGGAGGAATTAGAGGCTCTCCGCAAAAGATTGGCTGAAATCGAAACTCGGCAGAAATCACAAGAAGATTCTCCCCGACATGTCTCGACGTCGGGTAACGTCATCATTGAAGCGGATTCACCCTTGGCTCCCGAACTTACTGCAGAAGCACTCCCTGCCAAGATAAAAATCCCACAAATTGGCATGTATGATGGAACTTCGGATCCCGATGCACACTTGGGTCACTATACGTCATGGATGGATTTGCATGACGACTCGGACGCTTTGAGATGTCGGATGTTTTCCCTCACACTGGGGCCACGAGCGCAGAAATGGTATTATACTCTTCCACCCCATTCAATCTGGAAGTGGCAACAATTACGTGCAGCTTTCCGATCACACTTCATTGGAGCCCAAGTCTGTCTTATCCCAAAAGAATCAATCACTAATATCGTGCAAAAGGATAACGAAACAGTTAAGGACTATATATCCCGATTCAATGATCAAATTCAAAATATGGAACCTTGCCATCCTGAGACCTTGTTAGTAAAGGCCCAATTCTATGTTTCATTGGACTTTATGTCAGAACAAGCCGGCTACCTTTCAAGAATTTCTCGTACGAGCCCAACAATTCATTATCGCCGAAGAATCGATGTCGGTTCCTAGTTTTGACTTCTCGGTAAAAGAAGATAAGGTTGAACCAGATGCAAAGAAGAAGAACAAAAAGAATTTTGGAAAGGCGCAATATCAGAATTACTCGAAAGGTTATGAAGATACTCCAGAATCCAGAGCCGCCCGAGACCAATATGCTGACAATGTGAGGACGGGCTATATATCAAACTGTTTATTCAGCCGGAGCAGCTACAATCTTTGAAGAACTGAAAGAAAAGGGAATTATTCCTGATCCGAAACCTGTAAGAACTCCTGAAGACAAGCTTGACAAAACTCGATACTGTGCGTACCATAACTCCCCGGGACATAATACCGATGAGTGTCTCGGCCTTTTGTCGGCCCTTCTGCGTTTAATTGGGCAACCACAACTTCAAAAGTTCAAAAATTTTGATAATCGCCGTAAAGGAAGACCCGTTGATGTTTCAGATGAAGAAGATGACGATGATCGGGCCCTCAATCCAAAGAGAATCCGTGCGAACGACAAGGAAGTTTTTACGTTTTCCACTTTTGTCGGCACTTCGACGTACAACAATAAGAAACTCAGAACGCATGATGCATCGAACTCTTCTCATTACATACCTCGAATAAATTCTAACACAAAACAGTTGGACACATCCCGGCGAAAAGCTAAAGCCTATGTTAGGGAAGCACATAATGCCGGAAAGCAAGTTATGAACGTTGATCTTCGAGATACTATTAATAAGCGAAATTGTCCCATTATATTTAACATCAAAGATGCCAATCTGTTCGCTCACCCTCACTCTGATGCTCTCGTTATCACTGCTCCAGTTGGAGGAATTCCTATTCACCAAATCATGGTTGATACTAGAGCTTATTCAAGTATTTTGATGTTTCGCACTTTCAAGAAATTGGGTTTGGATCCCGCTGATATCAGGCCTTGCAATGACCATATTCAAGGCTTCAATAGAAGCATTTCTTGCCCTCTTGGTGAAATTTTACTCCCCATTCGATTTGGTGGCTTCGGACCAAAATCCAAGATCATTATGGAAACTTTCAAAGTCTTGGATATTCACAATGAGTACAATGCTGTTGTAGGACGTACCGCTCTTTACAAACTCCATGCTGCTGTGTCACTTTTTCATTATGCCTTAAAATTTCCCACTCTTGAAGGAGAAGGCACTCATTATGAGATCAGCAGGAGGCACGAAATCTGACATTGGCTCCGACTTCACACAATATTCATGCATATGAAGCACAGGAAATTGATGATTTTGTTAATTTGGAAGATCCAATTCCTTCTGATACCACGATAACTGATCAATCCACTTCAGTTACCGACATCCCATCTGCACCTGGTACCGACGTCCCTAGGATGTCGGAGATCCCTGAAACCTTGAATGGAGTCCTTGACCAAGGACAACAGCTTCACAAGGAGGACATGAAGGCACCCGAAGATATAGATCCAAGGATGCAATTCAAAGACAAGAGTCATCACATTCGGGCGGAACACGTTGAAGATGCCGAGGTTATTCACGTGGATGAACTAACTCAAGACAAACCATTGCGTATTGGAGATAATTTTCAAGAACCAATGCGTTCTCATCTAATTCAATTCCTTCGATCAAATTCCGACGTATTTGCCTGGAAGCATGAAGACATGAAGGGAATAGACCCGCAAAAAGCGTGTCATCGGCTGAATTTGGATAAAACTGTTAAGCCCGTCATATAGAAACGCCGAAAAATCGGACCAGATCGTCAGAAAGCATTGGAAGAGGAAGTGAACAAACTTATAGACAATAAGTTTGTTAAAGAAGCCAAATACCCGACGTGGATATCAAATCCTGTTTTGGTCAAGAAAAGTAGTGGCCTGTGGCGCCTATGCATTGACTTCTCGGATATGAACCAAGCATGTCCAAAAGATAGCTATCCAATCCCACACATCGATTACATGGTAGACGCCACATCGGGACATCAACTCATGAGTTTTTTGGACGCTTATTCCGGCTATAATCAAATTCCCATGCACCCCGATGATGCTGAACACACTTCGTTTTATTCGGCCCGAGGTCTTTACTGCTACGTCATGATGACTTTTGGACTGAAGAATGCTGGGGCCACATATCAGTGGCTGGTTAACAAAATGTTCGCTCATTTGATCGGTCATACAATGGAAGTTTACGTAGACGACATGCTGGTGAAATCGGAACAAGCTCCTGATCATATCGCTCATCTTTCTGAAGTCTTTGACATCCTCCGAGAATATTCAATGGTACTTAACCCTAAAAAGTGCACCTTCGGGGTTGGATCAGGAAAATTTCTAGGATACATGGTGAGCCAAAGGGGGATCGAAGCTAATCCCGTCAAGATCCAGGCTATACTTGATTTGGCTCCCCCTACGTCCATCAAAGGTGTTCAAGCTTTAACTGGTCGACTAGCAGCTCTGAATCGATTCATTTCAAAATCGACAGATCATTGCAAGCCTTTCTTTGATGCTATCAGGAAGAAGAAGTCGTTTGAATGGACTATTGAGTGTCAAAGTGCTTTTGATAACATTAAAGAAGTTCTTTCACAACTTCCGACGTTGCAGAAACCTCTTCCCGATGAACCTTTATATTTATATTTGGCAGTAAGTGATGCCGCTGTTAGTGTTGTTCTCATACGACAAGATGGACTCCAACAGTTTCCGATATATTATGTTAGCAAGGCCTTACATGATGTTGAATTACGATACCCGTACATGGAGAAACTAGCCTTTGCTCTGACTATTGCTGCATGTAAGTTACGACCCTATTTTCTGGAACATTCTAATATCGTGTTCACGTCATATCCTCTCTGACAAATCCTTCACCGACCAGACACGTCGGGTAGAATGATCAAGTGGGCTATAGAGCTCGGACAGTTTGATATCCAGTATCGACCATGAACTGCTATCAAAGCCCAGGTGTTATCCGACTTCATAGCCGAATTCACCCCATCTATGAGTACATCAATTAAAGATCCAACGTGGACTCTTTACATCGACAGATCATCTACCGCTATACGAGTCGGAGGAGGAATCGTTTTAGTCAGCCCTGATCAACAAGTTTTTTGTTATTCTGTAGCGTTCACCTTCCCGGCTACAAACAATGAAGCTGAATATGAAGCCCTTTTATCAGGCCTACGTTTTGCTGAATCCTTGAGTGTTTCCTCCCTCCGCATATTTTCCGACTCTCAATTACTCGTCAGCCATATCAACGGCACCTATGAAGTGAAGGAACCTCGATTGCTTCCATATGTCGATCTTGCCAAGAAAAAATTATCCCAATTCAAAATGACATTAGAGCATATACCTCGGACATCCAACATTCAGGCGGATGCTCACTCACGTTTGGCCTCTTCTACCAATTTGAACAACGTCGAGTTTGTGCAGATTACTCAACAGACAACTTCTTCAACAATCACTACCGACGTCACCATGATCGATGCTGCTCCGCCAATTCCAAATTCAACCTGTATGGATCCTATCATCAACTATCTTCAAACGGGGGCCGCGCCTGAAGATCCAAAAGGAGCTCGTACTCTTCGCGTTCGTGCTGCTCATTCCACGATCGATCAAGGAACATTATACAAGCGTGGATATTCCGCTCCGTTATTTAAATGCTTGTCGAAAACTGACGCCCAATGTATTCTTGAAGAAGTGCATGAAGGTGTCTGTGGTACCCACCATGGAGCGCAAGCTTTATCTCATAAAATTCTCCGACAAGGTTACTATTGGCCGACCGTCAAGAAAGATGCAGCCGACTGGGTACGAAAATGTCATAAATGTCAAATATTTGCTCCCAATGTTAACCAACATCCTGAACTTCTCAAGTCAATATATAGTCCATGGCCATTCGCGAAATGAGGAATTGATCTAATTGGTCCCCTACCGACAGCAAAGGGAGGTGTTCGTTTTGCTATATTGGCTGTCGACTACTTCACCAAATGGGTAGAAGCCGAACCTCTTGCCACCATCACCGAACAAAAGATGATTGATTTTGTCTGAAAGTCCATCGTCTGTCGGTTTGGAATTCCAAACTCTATTATAACCGACAACGGTCGTCAGTTTGAAGGAAAACGATTCGAAGGCTTTTGTGAAGACTACGGAATCAAGCATTTTTTCTCCTCACCTTATCATCCCCAAGCCAATGGACAGATAGAAGCTATAAACAAGATCATCAAAAATGGCTTGAAGACCCGACTTGAAACCGCAAAAGGATCTTGGCCTGACGAACTATCTCATGTCCTTTGGGCCTATCGAACGACGACACGGAATTTAACTGGAGAAACTCTGTTCTCACTAACCTACGGAACCGAAGCCGTGATACCTGTTGAACTCACTTCTCCGACATATCGGATTGCCCATTTCTCCGAAGAAGCCAACTTAGAAAGCTTAAGAACCAATCTTGACTTGGTCGATGAATTGCGGATCGAAGCTGAAATTCGGAATGCTGCTTACAAACGACGTAGTGAAAAATACATTAACTCGAAACTCAAGCCGCGTTTGTTTGTCGTAGGAGACCTCGTTTTGAAAAGAGTTACCGGGGCCAACGTCGGTCCGTTGCAACCAAAGTGGGAAGGGCCTTTCAAAGTAAACCGTCTGATCTCTAATGGCACTTACCGACTTGAAACTTTGGATGGTGTTCCCCTTCAATACCCTTGGCATGCGACCTATCTGAAGAAATATTTCCAGTAAACCAAGGGTTGATCCTTTATCTCTGATGTATAAAAACCTTTTGCCTTACCTATGTACAAGATCACATTTTGTTGTCAATAAAGTTTGTGTGACGAACCACTATAATTTGTTGGCTCACTCGGACCCCAATAAATTGGTCCCCGTTGCTAAGGCTAAACGTGTTCGTACCCTAAAGTTGGTACGACCCGGCCAAACGCAATGAAGTCGGATACTTCCAAGCCCTGAAGATGGTTTGGGGTGGCTTATGCTCTACAATTTCAAATCCCGACGTTGATTTGATGAGCGCGCAATAAAATTTTTCAAGTTTTTTGAAGAATTCAAAGACTTTTACAATAAAAGCAAGTTTATTACGGCTTGTTCTGGCAAAAAGTTCATAGATATCGGATACACTATAAACTATACCGATATCGAGAATTCAAACAAATTCGTAAGAAAATAGTATGTAAATGCCAAGTATCATGTCGGAATAATCAAAAGCACGATTTGCTAAGCATTCATTTATCATTACTCCGACATGTTTTGACTTATTACAGTAACCTCATATGACAACACATTCATAAGCACAATAAGATAACTGAACATGGAATTTCATTCATAACAAAATATTGTCATTACATTCGATAAAAAGAAATGAAAAATAACAACAAATTATGAAGTTTCTTCTGGATTTTCCTTGTTCGTTCCCGACGTCGAAGCCCCTTCAGCCATTGAAGATTGAGGATTCCCAGCATCAGCTTTGCCTTTATCCACCGCATCTAGGTGATCTATCAATCTTTGGCCTAAGCGCTGCATTACCTCGTCTTCTTTTCTTTCCATTGCTTCATCCTCTTCATGAACGACTCAATCTTCATCAAAAGGGACCATGTATGTTAGCCAACCTTTGGCTTTCGCATCATCTTCTGCCACTTTTCGTAAAGCGAAACCAGTGATAGCGTCCATGAGATCCTCGTCGGAAAGATTTTCAAGTGTTTCCACGACGAAAGCCTCCGCAATTGTCTCAACGCATATGTTCGCCATTTCGGGTTTTTTGACCTTTTCCACTTCAAGGACCATGTCCACGAAGGCCCGACGAATCTTGGCTTTGCATTCTTCCGACAGAGGAGCCATATCCAATTCAAACATCCAGCTTTCTTTCTGTTTAAGAAGTCGGTTGGCAAAGTCGTGCTCATCCTGGTCAGCCGGAATATGGGCACCTTTTATCTCGGGATTAAGGCGATGCTTTTCTATTTTTTCCAGAAGGAAAATTTGTAGCTCATCAACACTATAAATGCCGTTTTCGATGCGATCGATGACCCAGCGCATGGTTAAGGCAGCATTCAATTCCAAGTCTCATTCGGTAACTGCATCCTCGCTCGCCACTTTGTCGGATTCCATCACAGCTTTTTTACCGACGTCGATACCTTCTTGAAATTT